CAACAGGATACTACTGAGTGATGGACCCTCATCCTCACATCATAGCTTCAATAAAAATCAACTGAGGCAGTTTCAGTCTCATCAACTATAGTATCATGCGACCCCTAAACTGTGTGTGGCTAGGAGTGGGGAGTGGGTATCCAAACACCCCAGAGCAACACACCCACACTGGCCAACTCCCCAAGGCTGAAGAGGATGCTTGGTTCTATGTTTTGGGAAAACTGGTAGGGATAACTCATTAACGACCCAACCTTGGGACAGCTGGGAGTGGTAGTGTGCGCCTACATTCTAAGCAGAGGCAGATGGTCCCACTTTGGTCTACAAGGCCAGCCAGCCAGAGCATGTAACAGAATGTCACAAGCTGACAGCGGCTATGGTGGCTCCCATCTATAATCCCAGAACTGGGGAGGTTGAGACAGGTAGGGTGAGCTTTAGGCTATCCTGGGTTTTAGTTACTGGGAAAGCCAACCTCTAGCTGTGCTGAGTTAGAATATTCGGGGAGCAGACTCTAAGTCCTGTCACTTCTTCAGACCACTTCAGCCCCTCCCAGGCTACTTAACACCGCCCCCCCCCTTTGCTCTCAAGTGCAGACCTGTTAGCAGTACTTCCTTTTAGTATTTATGTATACAACATTCTGTTTGTGTATATCTGCACACTAGAAAAGGGCACCAGATCTCATAATGGATGGTTGTGAGCCACCATGTGGGTGCTGGGAATTGAACTCAGGACCTCTGGAAGAGCTATCAGTGCTCTTAACCTGAGCCATCTCTCCAGCCCGTCAGCAGTACTTTCTATATCTGAACTTTTTTTTGGTTTCTCTGTATTGTTTTGGAGTCTATCCTGGAACTCAAGACCAGGCTGGCCTTGAACTGCCTCTGCCTCCCAAGTGCTGAGATTAAAGGCATGTGCCACCAACACCTGGCTTATCTGAACTTTTAATGAACCCGTTTTTTTTGTCCCTAGCTGTCCTGGAACTAGCTCTTGTAGACCAAGCTGACTTCAAACTCAAGAAATCCATCAACCTGCCTCTGCCTCCTGAGTGCTGGGATTAAAGGCATGCGGTACTACCACCAGGCTGTTTTTTTTTTTTTTTTTTTTGAAAAAGACCTATTTTTATATGTATGGGTGTTTTTTGCCTTCATTGTTGGTCTGTGCACTTGCATGCCTGGTACCCAAGACGGCTAGAAAAGGATATAGAATTGTGACTGGGGTTACAGATGGTGAGTCACCATGTCAGTACTGGAATTGAACCCAGGTGTTCCTAAACAGTCATCTCTCTGACCCATCCTCGAAGGATTAAGTGTTAGGTAATGTTAATCGGCAACCTATGATTTAAGTACAAAGTCAAAAATTTTTTTTTTGGGGGGGGGGGGTGGTTCCAGGCAGGGTTTCTCTGTGTAGCTTTGGAGCCTATCCTGGCACTTGCTCTGGAGAACAGGCTGGCCTCAAAGTTACAGAAATCCACCTGCCTCTGCCTCCCGAGTGCTGGTATTAAAGGCATGCGCCACCAACGCCCAGCCAAAGTAAATTTTTTAACAGGTCAGTAGAAATGTCTTTAGTTTTCTGCAGTCAAGTTCAAGTGTTATTCTAGAACACCCTTCAGTGTTAGAAAAGCCTCAATCTCACATCCACAATGTTAGTGAGTTAAATCTAATAAGGTTTATTTGTGCTTCAAATCACAAAGCCCAACATGAACTTCCCAGGAAATCCACTGAGAAATGCTTTTCTAGGCGCAGCACCTGCCTCCCCAGTGCCTCCAACTGCTAGCTGCCAGAGGCTTCCCAGGATGACAGAGTCACTTGACTTCTTGGCTACTTCTGCAGATCAAACTCCAAGGTCCTTTGATGACATTCTCTCTGGGAGATTAAAGTCAGCAGCAGCAGGGCACTTTAGGGCAGTAACCTGGAAACAAAACAAAACAAAACCATGAAGGAAAACAGCCAGTTGAGTGACTCAAAAGTGAGGAATTTGGGAACCAGCAATTAGCCTGGGGCTCCTGCCACTATCATTTACTAGGCATTATGTGTAACTTTTTTTTTTTTAAAAAGACGAGAAATTTCTGGTGATGGTCAAAAAACAAACTCTCATGAACCATCAGAAATATTTACATTCAACTAACTCCCTCTGTACATGGACCTTTGAGTCCACCAGGAGCAAAGCCAAGCAGACCTGCTTCCCTGCAGGCTATGGGCTCTGTGAATCTCACCAAATGCTACTTCAGATGATGAAAAAATCAGCAGGCAGTGGTGGCGTACACCTTTAATCCCAGCACTTTGGAGGCAGAGGCAGGAGGATCTCTGAGTTTGAGGCGGTCTACAGAGTGAATTCCAGGTTAGCCAGGGCTACACAAGAGAAACGCTATCTTGAAAACTGAAATTTAAAAAGTGACTTTAAGTATAAAAAGCCAGTTTCCACAGCAAAGGACAATTTGAGGGCTTCAAAATGGCCACTGAAACGAGTTCCTAAGGCAGGGCCCACCCCCCACCCTAGTGCCCTGTTTCTCTCCGACTCCTCTAGTGCCCATTAAGTAACCACGACACACAGACAGGACCTACTCTGTACTGAGGCTGCCAGAGTCGCTGCGCCTTCTTTCCCCAAAATGTCAGGACTGCTGTGGTGGCAAGGACAGAGTCACTAAGCACTGATGGCATAAGCCTTACATTCCTGACTCCTACAAAAGAGCACATTCACTCCCAAGTATGTGGCAAGCACTCCTTCACTCTACAGTATAGAATGAGCCCTGGCAGCATGCCCACCTCTGTGAACTCAGAGGCTTTGCCCTCAGAGCCACTCAAAGGAGAGGATTATAGGGCAACCAGACCATAGGCTTTTGGAGAGCTGGCACACCACACTAGGTCCCAGCAGGGCGCACATAGCTCTCTATGGAGTCCACTCAATCCCTTATAAAGCTCGAATTTCTTCAAGCATGGAGCCACACCCCTAAGCCTCAGAACATAGTATTTTCCCTCAGCTGAAATTTTCAGACAGGGATAACTTAACATCCATCATAGGCTTATGGGCTTTTTTTAGAACAAAAACAAAATGGGAGCATAAAACCACAAAGGGCCAGGTATGGTGACAAATGCCTTTAATCCCAGCACCTGGAAGGCGGAAGCAGGTGGACTTGTGAGTTTGAGGTCACCCAGGTCTACATAGCAAGTCCCACCTGGGGCTAAACAGTAAGATCCTATCTCAGATCAAAGGGGGAGGGGGCTACAGAAGAAAGCAATTGCTTCTGTTTGTCACAAGGCTGGCATCTCACCCTGCACAACCCAGAGCAGGAAATCAAAAGCACTAACCCTCCACCCAGCCAGCTGTGCGAGGAACCACGGCCGCTCACATCCTTGCAATCCAGGGGGCAGGATAGTTGGTTACCTGCAGGCTGCCACAGCATCCCTTTCTGCCCCAGACTTGGCCTGCACCTGGTGATGAGGAAACACACAAGGTAAAGCAGCTCACTGAAGAACCATGTCCAGAGTTGCTGGTCAAGCCCGAGAAGCCGAGTTTCAGATATCCACGCTCCACACAGAAAGGCCTCTTGCCCTTCAGACAGGGATAACTTTACATCATCATGCACTCAGCTCCCACGGGACTGCCGGCCTTTGCTCAAGAACTCTAAAAGCTTTTTTAAAAAGGCAATTTCATGTGTGTGTGTGTGTGTGTGTGTGTTTTGACTACATGAACATATGTGCACCGTGTGTGCCTAGTGCCTGTAGAGACCTCAAGAGGGTATTGGATTCCCCCTAGACGTGGAGTTATAGGCAGCTGGCTGCCTGAAGTAAGTGCTGGGAAATGAACCCAGGTCCTCAGCAGCTGTTCTTAGCCACTGAGCCATTTCCCAGACACTCCGGTCCTCTCAAAGACAGGATCATGAACATCAAGAAAGCCAAGGCAAGAACTGTGAGTTTGAACCCAACCTGTGCTACACAGAAAATTCAAGGCCCACACAGGATACATGGTAAGACCTCAGGGTGGAAGAGGGTCACTCCCAGCAGCATCTGTCTTATCGCTGAGCCAGAGTCTTTGACAAGTTCTTCCAGCCTGTCACGGGAACGCCTGAAATGGTTTAGGTAACCCACTACCTCAGCTGGCCCATTGACAGACAACCACCTATCACACCTGCTACCGAGACAGCATCATACAGTTTCTCCTTGTCCATCTACATATACAAGAGCAAGCCTGAGATTTTTCCATTTAGACATTAGAAATCTACCCCAAGAGCTTCTTAAAAATAGCCTGCTCTAGGAGAATCCCTAAGCAGATCATTGAACTCTCTCTGTCCGCCTGCTCAGACCTCCCACAAGGTTGTTGTTGATCCCATTCTAAAACCAGTCTTATCCACTGGCAGAGGTGGACCCAGGGAATGCTTTTAGGTGTTGGGGGATAAATCCCGGATTGGAAACCACTAATTTTGCTTTACAAAAAACACAAGGCTCTGTGCCACTATCAGCTAGCTGGCCAAAACCTTTAATCTAAAATGCAATTTTGGCTCAGTATGTAAAGGAGAGAACAAACTCAGTCCAAGTCATCCTGAGTGATAAGGTTTCTTAACCTCAGCTCTATTGACATGTTGGGTATGTTTAAGTTTAAAATGGCTGCCCTGTGCCTTGAAGGACAGTCACCCAGCATCAACTGATGTCCCCTGGAAGCCAGTGCTCATGTAGCTTTGAGCAGAAACCCCTAAGCCTCAGTCTATGTGGCAGCAGAGTGGGGAACACTTGTATTCTCACACCTTAAATACAGTCTATGAAGGCAGTAAGTGAAGAGCAGAGAGGAATGGTTCCATGTTTCTTCCCTTCCCCGAGCAATCACATCCCTGCAACCCCAGACCGATCCTTCCAGGCAACCCCAACCCCTGCCACTCTATGGAGAAGTGCTTACCACACACAGCATCTCATGGTGTCTCCAGGAGCCAACTCCAATCTACAAGAGTAATTAAGGGAGTTCATTGTAACATAAGCAACCCTATGGTGTTTAAAATCAGAAAAGGTATTAAAAAGTGGAGCCTCAGAAAACCACAACCCTTCACAAAAGATGCCATTTCAGACAGGGATAACTCTAATAAATCATCCTCGGCTCAACCAATAACACACTCCCTAAATCCCAGCCAACCCAAACTCATGTTCCAAGTCTCTTCCCCTTCGTCCCTGTACACTGTGTCACCCACACATGGTGGCCCCATGTTACACCGACCCAGCCCCTCTTCTAGACTTTGGGTAGCAGACACTCTTCTTACCGAAAGGGACTCATGGCTCAACGCTCGCTCATTGGGGAACCTGAGAACAGTGCACGCAGATGCCCGCCGTCCTTCTCCGCCTTCTCACTGGGCGGCCACGCGGGTCCCTTTACGCCTGGGGATCCTGCCATTAACCTGATGCTTTGCCAGGGGCACGCCTTCGAGGAAGGAAAGACATGCCATTTGCAAAACTACGGATTTCCAGTTGGCAATCCCCTTTCTCACGGCCTGCGGTCACCACCTGCGGGCAGCAGACCCATTCGGGCGTCGAGGCTCAGGAATGAGGGACCACCAGCCTCGAGGGAGACCCCAGGGCCGCATGCTCCGTGCATGGCTGGCTGTGAGGCCCAGGGGGCTGGGCAGCCTGCGAGGATCCCCCCTGAAAGGTCCAGGCATTGTGCTGGCCTGGCCCTGTGACCCGGCACAATCACTCAGGCAGTGCCTGGTTCCACGGAACCGAGTCTTTGACAGACAGACCCCTGCTCGCTCGCCCGCCCCCACCCCGCTGTAATAAACTCCACGGTTAATCCATCTCCTGGTTCATGTTCCACAGCGCGCATCTTTAAGCAAAGGAACACCACCCGCCCCCCAAACAAGCCGGGAGCGCGGAGCCTAAACGGGCTTCGGCCGCTGTCACGTAAAACTTGTGCAGCCTGGAAAACGCCGTCTTTCCAACACAGAACCCCGGGCCTTCCAGCGCCTTCAGGAGCAAAGCAGAGAGGAGGGGGCACCGGGAACACAGGCCCTCACGCCCCCTCCCC